ATCCTGAAGGGAGATAAAGAGTCAAAATGTTTAAGCACTTGCACAGCTCATCCGACCAAGACATGCTTGTGTGTGGGAAGTGCTGGGAAGGCCAGGCTCAAAACGCGTACCAGGGATCCAGGGCACTGAATGCTGACAAACTGGTTAATACCTAAACCAGAGTCCTGTCCCAGCATGAGTCAGAGGAAATGTGTCCTTATCTGATCCCAGCTTGGCACTGCCAGCAAAGGTGGTTCTTGCCCAACTTGCAGCCCTAAGAGTGCTGCACAGCTGCATCCTCCCTCAGCCCAGCAAGCCCCTGACAGGACAGCATCCCTTCTGCCAAAGACCCTCACAAGAGGCAGGCTTAGGTATCTGCAGCAGCCAGCAGCACCGGGCAGATCTCGGTGTCAACTCCTGTGCTACAGCTAAGCCAATTTAACAGCTCAGCACACCAAAACATCTCCCTATGTCCCTCAATTCACCTGTGGGTCACTTGTTTTTGCAGTTATCCAGGTGATTCTATTCACAGATTACTTCATTACTCAGTAAATTCAACTCATTACCTGACATAAAACCAGACTTTACTTTTCCCTGGTCAGGTTAGCTCCCAACCAGAGAGTGAGCTGAGGAGACTCAAGAAAGGTCTGATTAGACTAGAGACAACAGAAGGCAGAAGCATGAAGCTCAGTGGGAAGGGAGAGGAGTTTCTAACTCTGGCAGCACCTGGCTGACAGATCAATGTGCCTGCACTGTGTTATTTCACCCTGGGAGAAGTCATGGGCTTGCCTGCAGCTCCCCTAACATTCCCACGGCCCACACTGATCATGAGGCATCAGAGTGTGTTCCATCACTCTGTGATCTCAGACACGTTGAAGCAAACATGAGCAGGCTGTTTTGCTGCCACTGCCCGTTCTCCAAGCACCTGGGAGCCAGGCCCAGGAGCTCTGCTCCTCTGCTCTGCCCCATCTGGAGCAGCAGAGGGGAAGAGCTGTGCATGCCCTGTACTCCACCTCCCACCCAAAGCCCTCTGACTCACTATGTTGCTGTGGTGAGCCTTAGTCATGAGCAGCATGCGGCCAACAAGGTCAGTGGTGGACACGCCTTGAGTGCGTTTGCATTCCCTGCAGGAGACAAGCAAAGGATGAAGCAGAAGCCACAGGAGCCAAGGCTCTGTCTTCCCACCATTGCCATGGGGACCCCTGTGACACCTGATAAATGAAAACCAGGGGCTGTCCTGAGGAAGCCTTTCTTCTCAAGAACAGCATTTATTTGCTGAGCCTCTGCATCATCCTCACGCCACAGCAGCTGCTTGTGTGAACGCTTCCCTCACTCAGGCATCCCACCAGAGCCAGCTCTCGGTGAGGCTTTAAAACCAGACCAAGCCTCTGCCAGGAACCAGACAGCCCCACTGGGCAGGAATGTCTGCCCCACTTCCCTGAAGCCAAAATGCTGGGAGCAGTTGAAGCTCTGACACACATACAGCCAAATTCAGGTGTGACCTGAAGAGTGGTATGTTCCATCTGACTTCCCTTCAAGGCACAAAGTCCCAGGAACTCTGCCCAAAACAAGATAAACAGGTAAGCAGCAACAGGTTACCTGTATCGCCCTGCTGTCTTTACTTCCTCATAGGTGTCCTTGCCATCGATAGTTAAGGTGATGTCATCTGCAGAGAGAGAAAAGCCTCAGAACTGTACCCAAGCTCTCCTGCACAAAAGCAGCAGCTGTGCAGGTCCCACACACATGCAACTCTGCAATCCAAATCCCTGTGCATGCACAGGGGACATGTCCTGTGCCCCACAAAGATGTCGGGGGGGGGGTTTAAGACTACTGTGTCTGTGGAGACAAGGATATTCCTGGACCTGAACACCATTACCCATCTGGTGCACTGCTGGGTGCCCTGCAGCAGCAGGCACAGCTGATTGATTATTGTCTGAATGATAATAAACAAGCACTATCTGTATCAATGCTAAAAATGAACCTTTTAGCTCTTCTGGGACTGGTTTTAACCCTTGGCTCATGTTACAAGTTTTCAATCAATGGAACGTTCTTCCTCTCAGTGACTGCACTCCCACAGTGACATCCAGGACCCTCTACTGAGGCCATTCTGGTTCATCTCTGGCACAGGGCTCCCAACTCCCTCTGCAGAAACACCTCTCATACTTTTGGGGATGGTACAAAGCCTTCACAAGCAAAAGCTAAGCTGGTTTCCCTTTGCCAAAAGAGTCAGAGGGCAGCCCATGAGTGTGCCTGCAGAGGGGGTGCCTCAGTCCTGCTCAGTTCTCCTAAAACCCCACAGCCTCCCCTCAGAGCACAGGCGGGCACACACTGCCAGCACAGCCTGGCGTGCCAGCAGAGGCACAAAGAGAGGGTTGCTGTTACCACCTCAGGTAAGCTCAGCTATTTCCAAATTCAGCTTTTGCACAAACACAGCCTGGCGAAACTGCCGGTGCAGGGGTGTTGCTCAGGAGAGCACGGAACGATTGCGACAGGTCAGCAGGTGGCAGAGGGGACACATGCAAGCAGCTGGAGCAGGGGCCACGAGCACTCCCCTGCTGTCATCACCCCTCACCACACCCTGTAAGTGCTCACGTACACCAAACACACTCAGGGCAGGCAAAGAAGTTAATGAGGAATTTGATAACCACTCCATCCACGTGAAAAAAGAATATATATCTTCTAAAGATTAAGGATTTATTTACACTTTGTGAAATACTTGGCTTATCAACAGCAGGTGGCTGGGATCAGATGAGAGATACACCAAATGAGTGCAAAGACTACTCCTGGTCAAAGTAACAAAATTGCTTCAGAGGGGCAGGGAAGAAGGGCTGGGGCTTAATGACCATTGGCAGCTGCCCAGGAAGGGACAGAGTCCCAGAGCAAGAACATTTCCTCAGAACACTGGTTCTCTTTAGCAACTGTACACCAAAAAGTATTCACACTAAGAACTAGGTCTCTGGCCATACAGTCAGCTGAGTCATTGAACAGCTTATCAGCTGGATAAAGAGAGGAGCTTTTCAGATCTAACCTTGTCCCAGGATAAGTAGAAATAAACATGGTTGTATTTCTGCATGCTTTCCTTTTCAATAGTGTTTTTCACACTTAAGTTTTGTAAATGGCTTTGTGCAAATTTCTGCTGGTGCTAAGGGCAACCTTGGGATAATTTTAAATGACACATTTCACCTTTGTAAGTTAAAACCAAGGGCCCTGTCCGCTCTCGAGATTTTGAGCACTCTGATGTTTCTCCAGCCCATGTGACCAGAAGCAGCTGTGCTGCCCAGTGCAGGTGCTGAGGAGGCAGAGCGCTGTCCCCCTGACCCTGCAGCCCCCAGGACACTGCTGGATTGCAGCAGGGCACCTGCAGCACACAGCCCACGTTAGCACAGCCACTGCCCCAAACACCACTCACCCCCATGCACGCAGAAGTCGCAGCTGTACTTGTCCAGGGTTTCCAGCGTGGTGACATAAGGAGCTCCAGGAGCAATCTCATCCACCCACTTGATGGCCTGCACCATTTTGTACCTCTCCTCCTGAGTGAAGACGGGGGGACCCTTGTGCTTGGCAATCTCCTCTGGGGGAGAAACAAAATTCCAGTTAGAAGCACGTCCTGCAGCTACAGTGGCTCTCAGTCACTGCTGCACTCCTTTCATGGGCAGGTGAACTTCACTGCAGGCTTACCCTAAGATTTGGATCAGTCCGTGGTAGCAAAGGAAGCCCCAGATAGATCAGGAAATATTTTGATTCAGTTGCATTTCTTAAACATTTAACAAGAGCCCTAGAATTCACTCAAGAGGGCAAAAAGTCTCAGTGCTTCCCTGTACCCAGATAGTTCTTCCTGAGGGGATGAGCTGGGCCTCCCGGCATCCCCCTAGAAAAAATTTCCCTCTTAAACAGTAACTTCATAGTACACCTGGTTCATACTGGAAATTCTGTATCCATCAACTCATTTAAAATACATCTTCACATGCCATAACTTGTTTCTGGCACTTAACTTCCAGATGGCCTTGAAATGAGTTTTCTCCACAAGGTAACTTGTTTTGAAACATAGGTTCTGCACCACTTACCAGCAAAAGCAGACTGATTTTCAGCTGTTTCATATAGCACAGAACGCAGGTTAACCCTCGGAGCCTGCAAGGTCTGACCCACCTATTCCTCAGTCCAAAAATGTGACAGGGATAACTCCATTCCCAGAGAAGGGACATCTTTCTCTTGGAGGCTACTGATCCTGGAGCAGATGCAGGATGAAGCCTGACCCTATCAGGAACTCTTGGTTCTCCCGGGGCTGATGCTGCCGGGCAGTTTGAGGGGCTGCACGAGATGAATCCTGGTAAAGGCTCTTACCATCCGTGTGGACCCCAACGATCAGGTAATCGCCCATGGCCCGCGCCTGGCGCAGCTGGTTCGAGTGGCCATAGTGCACCATGTCATAGCTGCAAAGAAAAGGGCCGGTCAGCCCGGGCACACCGGGTCGCTCCGGTGCAAGCTGCGGGCTCTGCCCCAGCTTTGGGGCTGAAGGTCTCTGCTGCCGGGCAGGGCTGTGCGGTACGGCCCGGTCCCCAGGCCCGCAGCAGCGCTCCCTCCATCGCGGCGAGCCGGCCCTGCTGCTGCAGCGGCCGGTCCCTGCCCGGCAGGTGCTGGCTGTAGCCCGGGGGAACGCTCCGGCCCCGGGAACGGCGCCCGTTAAGCGGCCGAGGGCGCTCCCGGCTCCGGAGCGGTCTGTGGCCGGCTCCGCCCGCCGCCGCTCGCCCGGCGCCTGAGGCGGCTCAGCGAGGAGAGCGCCGCGGGCCCGGGCCCGTCCCGCCGCGGTGACAGAGGAGGCGGAGGCACCAGCGTAGCCAACACGGTTTATTTCTGCGGCGCCACCACATCGCCCGGCCCCGCGCCCGCCCCACTCACCATCCATCGCACCAGACGCGCACGGGCCGGTGGCCGCCGCCGCCCGCCGCGGCTCCGCCGCCGCCCGCCGCCCCGTTGCGCAGCATGGCCGCGCTGTCACCGGCGCCGCCCGCCCCGCCCCGCGCTCAGCGGCTCTTCCTGCGCCGGGCGCCCTTGGCGCAGCCGCGGCCGAACCACCCCCCGGGCCGCCCGACCGCCGCCTCCGCCCGCTCCCGGGGCTGCTCCTGCTCCCGGGGCTCCTCCCGCTCCCGGGGCGGCGCCACGGGTTTCCGCGAGTGCGTGCCCTCCTCCCCGGGGCGCAGCGGCTCGGCCAGCGCGAAGATGGGGTCCCGCGCCCTGCGGAAGGAAGGAGAGGGCGGCGGTGGGCGCTGCAGGCGGCCCCGGGCCGGGGCCCCCCCGCACGCGGCCCCGCCGCTCACCGGTCGTAGCGCGGGATTTGCAGCCCCAGCTCCGCCATCAGCAGCCGCATCACGTCGTCGCAGCGGCCGTGCAGCTTCAGGGCGGCCAGATCGTCCTTCGGGGTCCACTGCGAGGAGAGCAGAGCCGGCTGCAGGCGGATCCCCGCGGCGGCAGCGGGGGCTCCTGCCCCGGGCCCCGCACATCTGCGGTCCCTTGGCTCACACCTGGCCAGCTCAGCGCGGGGGCTTTATCTCACCTGCAGGTTCACAATATACAACTTGGGCCGGCGAGTGGGGGGCTTGCTCATGCACCAGAGCCGCGGGTATTTTTTCAAAACCTGCCACAAAGCACAGAGGATCAGCACAGCCACAGGCACACGCAGCCGTGAACCGTATCAGCGAGAGGAAAAGGAATGTATTACCAGGAGGGGAAAGAGGGAGGAAGAGAGACTATCACAGATGTTGGGCGAATCCTGACACCAGAGTTTACAGTTGTCTGTTTGGGAGGAGACTGCTCAGCACCAAGGTGTATCACCAAGAGGGAAGGCTGCTAACAATCTTCACCGAGTCTCTAAAGTTACCTTTAAGCTGGAACCCAGACAAAGAATCACATCTGCTTTGCTTGCAGCTTCTGTTGCTGCTTCCCAGTTCAGGGGCTGTCTCAATGTCCCCTTCTCCCCAAAGTGGACGATTGTATCTCTCAACTGTGCCCCACACTTGTGGCACATCCTGCCCGTGTGATGCCTGTGCAGGGCTGTGCGCTCTGTCACATCAAACACTCGCACGTACTCTCGGTTGGGGGTGCAGGAAGTGCAGACCTGGAGCAGGACAAAAGCAGAAACCCCATCACATCATCAGCATCCCGCCCACCAGAGGCCAGGATCAAGCCTCTTCTCTTGGAAGAAAAGCATTTTTGGGGACAAGTTGTAGACAGTAGCATCAGGGATCAGATGCTAACTTGGAAAACCTCAAGGTTTTTTTGAAAACCGGCCACAGGCAGCCCTTGGCTACATGCTGGGAGGGATTTTCAGAGGAAGAGATGTCAAGAAGCAAAAAGTTCCAGTATGTACAGAAGAAGAGCTACAGAGCTGGGTTTGGCACTTCCTACGTAGTTCACCCCAAACCCGATGGTCTGAAGGCAGGAACTGCACACAGGCCAAGCCCTTGCACTAATTCCTTCTGAGCTAGTGGCAGATCAAGAGTTTACATTCTCTTTCTGTGAGGCCACTTAACAAGGACTTTTTCCTGCTCTGGCCACTCACCTCTATGTACATGTTCCCGTGCAGCTCAGATATTGCAGCTCGGGGTAAGCCGCTCCGCAGGTGCAGCCCATCACAGTTCTGAGACACCACGTGCTGCACCTTGAAGGGAACAAAGCACTCAGCTCCTGCAAACACACAGGGATCCCTCCAGGCAGGGGATGGCCATGTCCCAAATGCACCAACAGCCTCTAATCAGAGCAGGACCCACAGGGGAAGAGCATGGTGAGCAGACCTTCGTGAAAGCTAAATGGAAACCTCCTCCTGCTCAACAGAACATTTCTAGGGCTGGCTGATTTGTGACCAGCTCCCCAGGTACAAATACAACATGTTAAAGAAAAGGCACCAGGGGAAAACCTGCCAGAGCTGGAGCCTGCAGCTGACTGAGGAAGGCTTGGACACGTTTTCCTACATGGATATGCAGCCACTTGAGCTAAAAACGTAGTCAGGCAATATTCTCTGACTATTCCCTGCTGGGTATATCATTCTTAGGCAGAGGAACGTGAGTGAGGAAGAGAGAGAGGAAGTGAGGTAAAAATATCTTACCAGGTTGTGCTTGTGCAGGCAGGCAATGCTCATATGAGTGAGTGTGGGCTCTGCCTCACTCAGGTCTGCAGCCCTGACAAGAAGCAAGGGGGGAAATAAAAAACGTTGGAATTGCCATTAACCTCTTCCAGTATCAGCTTTCTGTCACAGAGTTCAGAGTTTGGCTCCTCACCTGACACTCCTGCCCTTCTGCAGCAGTGTCCAAATGCCATTGGGGCCTCTGTAGTCTGGGATCGAAGCCGCCTGTCACCGGGAGAGAAAACCAGGCCTGATGGGGCAGGGTTGTCACAGCCCTTGTGCACAAACACTACCAACCCAGGCCCTCCCAGGACAGCCAGACACCTCCAGCCATTGCTGCTTTTTCATTCACTCCGAGTTTTCCAGCATAGCTGTTCCCTAAACACAGGGAAACCTCCTCATCTGTTTTCTCTCTCTCTTCTATGTTTCAGCTCTCATTTTCTCCTCTAGTGTTAGCTTTCTCCAATTTTATGATTATGGAATCCCTCCAGAACTCTTTTTCATCCTTGGTACTTCCCATTTTGCTACACAGAATTCCATTCTTGAGCCTTTTCTTATTTTCCCTAGACTCTGTTTCTGGCACCTCACACTCAGCATCTCCAGCAAACTTACAGGTGACATGAGCACCCAGCCCCCTGCCTCAGTCATGCTCCATTTCAGCAGAGAATGGAGTGGCAGAGCTCACACAAAGGTGGCAGATGACACATTAGAAGAGGTAGAACCAGACTGCTGCTTTGCCCCAGGCTACTGCAACAAAACAATTCTCAAACTGCAGTTTATAAATTCCAATGATGCCCAGCTGTCTCTGCATGTCAGATAACACATACAACATTCCTGAGCTAACTGGCTTGAGGTTTTACACCAAGTCATGGAAGAGACTCGAGTGAAGCAAGAGCAGAGTCCTGCTCAGGCTGTGCCTCCTGCACGGCCGGAGGCGATGCAGCCGCAGGCAGCAGGAATGACCCGGGATGCAGCCTGGAAACTGCCAGCCGTAGGCCCCGTGCAGAGTGCCAGGCTCACACACGTCTGTGCTCGCTCCAGAGCCGGGCAGCAGCCCAGCCAACGCGGCCCTGCAGGGCCAGCTGCTGTCCCAACGCACCGTGCTGATCCCAGCGCCCGTGTAGATGACGAGGTGCCTGGCGCCACGCACGGCCGCTGCCAGCTCTGCCACCTTCCTGGTCAGCTCCTCTGGCTCATCACACACCTGCAAAACACACCTCAGGGGTTCACGCGGGCCACGCCGCACCACCGAGTCACAGAGAGCAGCATCTCGCCGCGAGTCTGAGGATGGGCTTGGGCCGACCAGGAAAAGCAACGCAAACACAACATCGACAGCAATTTTCAAATGAAAAGCACGTGGGCATTGTTCATGGGAAGATCACGGCAAAAAGCTTCCTGGAGGCCGGAAGCTGCTGACCCACCCTCTCGGGAGAGCTGCCCGCACGGCCACACGCGCCGGGAGCGCGGCTGACCGGCGACAATCACCGGGCACTGCTCGGAGGGCAGACGCGTCCCCGGTACTGGGGCACAGCGGTTGTTCACCTGCTGCGCCTGCAGAGCTCGGCAGCAGCCAGCCCTGCGGCCTCCCCCGCGCCTCTCCTCGGCCGGGGCCGCTCCCTGCCATTACCGGCACGGCATCACCGGCACGGCATCACCGGCACGGCATCACCGGCACGGCATCACCGGCACGGCTTCCCCGCCCCCGCCGCGCCCCCGCCGCCCACCTCCTCCTGCCGCCGCCGCAGCCGCTCGCGCCGCTTGCGGCGCCGCTCCAGCTCCCTGACGATGTCCTCGCTCTCACTCAGCACCTGGCACTCCTCAGGGCTCCGCTCCGCCGGCGGCTTCCTCCAGATGCGGGACACCTGCCCGGTGCACACGCGTGGTCAGAGCGGCCCGCCGCGGCGAGGTGGAACGGGTCGGGCCGCGTCGCACCGTACCTGTCTCCGGCGGTCCCGCTGCTCCTCCTGCTGCAGGATCTCGGCGCGCGCCGCCGCTTTCCGCTCGGAGCGGCTCAGGCTGCCGCCCGCCGCCATCGCCCCGGAACCGCCGCGCCTCCGCCGCCACCGGGCTCGGCTCCGCCGCTTCCGCCTTCCGGCCAGAGCGCGCGCGCGCCGCTTCCGGCACCGCCCCCCGCGCGGCAGCGCGCCCTGGTGGCGGGCGGACCCAAAGGACGCGCAGGCGGCGGCTGTGGAAGCGGTTTATTGTCGCGTACAAAGGCGGCGGACACTGTACAGAATAAATAACGGCAATAACTTAGCAATAAATACCGCCTGCACCGAGCCCGGAGCCCTCTGGGTGACCCTTCTGTCCGCCAGCCCCGGCTCCGGCCGGGAGCGACTGTACACAATTCACAAGATACACAAATCCCGGGCGGGCCAGGGGCGCTCCCCGGGAGGGCTGGCGCGGGACCCCTCCCCGGGGCCGGGAACGGCACCAGGAACAGGAGAAAGGGAACACGACACCCTCACAGCAGAAAACCAAACGGACGAGCACCTCAGGAACAAGAATTGTCACACTCCAGAACACTATACACGAGAGAAGCCGGGCGACGGCTCCGGCACGGGTGGCCTCGCACGGGGACAGCCGGCAGGACAAGCGTCCCCCGAGCCGGACGGGGACACTGCGGAAACACCACTCGGGTCCTACACTGCACTGAGAACAAAACCAAACCACAGGCAAGCGACACTCGGGGGACCGTGGCCTCGCCGACATGCAGCGCGGCAAACAGAGCTTGTTCAGCACAGTGACCCTTCACGGCACAGCTGCCCTTCCCCACTCCGTGCTCGCTGAGCACACGGGCCCCGGGAAGCACAGTCGGCTCCGAGCACGGAGCAAGGACAGGGGGCTTTGTCACGGCTGCCAGCCCTGTTTGTGACCCAGGACACAGCAGCGCGGCTGCCACCGGCAGGGACCCGACACTCCTGCCACCGAGCACCACAAAATGCAAGTTCTCCGTGGCTGCAGGGGTGCCTGCCCATCGTTGCCTGCTGTGTTGATGGGGCTCTCCTCACACCCGAGGCTCCAGCTGTGGAACCAAGATCCTAACCAGCCCCATACACACCTTGCCTGCTCCGCTGGCCCAGATCAGGACTCAGCTGTGTTCCAAGGGCTCTGGCTGGTTGCATCTCAGCCTGGGTCTAAGCGGGACAGGGTTGGGAATGACAGCCCAGGACAACTGGACACCTCTGTGTTCTGTAAAATCACTTCTTCCAGTCACCACACAACCAGCTGGAAGACCAGAGCCTGCTGGGTGCTGTGCAGTGTGTGGCCTGTGTGGGGGATGGCTGCAAGTGCCACATCAGACACTTCAGAGAAGACAAGGGCAAGTCCAGGGCCAGAAGGGGGAAGTCTGGAGACAATGTTCTATCCTGCTCCTCCTTTGGGAAGTTTACTTGGAAAGCATCCCAAACAACTCCCTAAACTCCCTATCAATCAGAGCAAAGCTGATCTCCTCCAGCAGGAATCCCCATCAACTACCTGCTCCTCTCCTGCCACACTGCAGCTTTTCTCAGGCTGACCTGCTCCTCTGCTCAGGGGACAGCAGTATCACTTCAGCAGTGAGAAACATCCCCAAAACCTATCCAGGACAGCGGTACCTCGCCACGAGACTGGCTTCACTAGTGTTATCCCAATCTGCCCCCTCCCTCAGATCTTCAGCAGCCAGGAGATCACATGGGCTTCCCCCTCATGTCCTGCTTCTCTAAAACTCAGTAAATCAGCTCCAGTCTTTGGGAAGGGGAGAGGGGAGTCAAAGTGTTTGTGGAAATGGAGCCTGGCCACAAACAGCTTCTCAGCTGCATCACAGCTGTGAGTCTGAGCACTCTCCTAAAAGCCCTGGCAGAAGCCACCCCAGGAAGGACAGTGATCCTGCCACAGCTCACTGACCAGCAATGTGGAGACACCAGGGACAAGCCTGTCCCACATTGCCCCTCTTGTTGCAGACTTGCCCCTCTTGTTCAGGTGAGCCATGAGCACAACACAAGTTCTGACCACAGGATCTAATTCCAGAGCTAAATCCCATCAGTTTTCTCCTAAGCCTGGACAAGTCTCCCTCACGTTCCTTCTCTGACAGGTTTGCTCCAGGAAGAAGAGTGCAGCGTTTTTGCTTTCCAGATTTCCAAGCTAAGTTGGTGCTGGCTGCTGAGCAGGAGCTGCCTGTGCTGCCCTGCACGCCTCGGGGCAGGCGCTGCTACCTCACTGCACCAGCCAGCCATGCTTGTCTTCAAACACAGCAGCACCTTCGCCTGTGCACCAGAACCCTTCTGCAGAATTCAGAGAGATTCCAGCTCAATTTCTCAATCGGGTTTAGGAAAAATGACAACAGTGTGAAATGACAGCACATGGCAAAGGCACCGGCACACCACAGCGCCGCACGAGAGCCTGGGGAGCAGAGTGCCCAGCACAAGGGGACACAACAGAAACTAGCAAGGTCAAGAATAAGTCACTTTTGGTACAATTGCAAAAAGATATCAAACAGGACTTGCCTCTTTTTTTGTCTTTTTCTAAGTTTTATAAATAAAGTCTGATAACTCTTTATAAAAACTAACCTCAGAGCCACAAACAGTTTGCGGGAGGTTCATGAGAAACTTTAAAATTATTTATTTATTAACTTTTAACTAGCAAAGTCTCTGAGAATATTTCCCCACTCATATGGTCAAATATTCTCGCCTTCTCAGGTAAAAAAGCTGACTATAAATACGCTCTCTCTTCTGTCCAATTTTAAACTTAGATAATTTAATAATTCTTAAAATGATGTTTCTCTCTTTAAATAAAGGGCTATTTAACCACATAAACTGGTTGTGTAAACCATCACACTAGAGACACTTGATACCCTCAAAACACGGGAACAACTAGTGATTTTGGTCTTGTTCAGTGCAACGCATTAGGCACAAAACCGGCCTGCAGCCAACACGGTACCGCTGCTCCCTTCTTCCCTCGCGGCACGGGGCCCTGCGGGGCTCAGGACACGGGCAGGACACGGCAGCGCCGTCCTCCCAGCACTGCCACTCTACACAGCTAACGGCATGGACGTCTGAGGGAAACCCATGGTTAGGGCACAGAGGCACACCTAGAAAGGAATAAAACCTATGACACAGAACACCCCAACTGTAACTACAGGTACCAAAGGAGACGAAAGCAGCAGGTTCAGGCGCCGAGATGCACCACCTGGAAGAGTCATGAAATAAAGCCTTTGGAAGTGACCGAAAATTAGGGTTCCCAGCCCCCAGAAAGAAAGCTTTCCTCGGGCCACTCCTCCACCCTTCTCTCAGCCACGCTGCACAGATTTTCTTTGGGTAGAAAACCAAAATCTCACAGTCTGTCCCCAGGGCACCCAAGGGCTACAGACTGCTGGGTGGGAAGCTCTGTCTGCACAGGACAAGGGATGCATCACCACTGCTCATACCAATCTGGACACAACAAAATAAACTGGAGCGATCAGCAGGCCAGTCCTGGGCCAAGTCAAAGGAACCCGGACCCATGTGGGGAGGGCTTGTGCTTTGGGGATTCCAGGCTGGTTTTGTGCCTAACTGCCCTGCACAGACAAGCTCAGGCAATGCTCGCTTCACTAAGACCGGGCGTCCGTTTTGGATTTCACTATTGTGATGACACTCGTAGTAGCAACCTTGCCAGGGACGAGGGGCCCCATACTGGAAGCGAGAGGCCCCCGCGCAGGGGTCACGGGGCTCCGGGCCACGGTTCTGGCGAAGTTCTGGAGAGCCTCGTATTTGGAGCGGAGAGCATCAAGTTCCATTTTCATGCTGGCGTTCTCCGAGGCCAGCTTCTCCACTTCTTGCTGCAGCTCTGCCTTCTGCTTCTCCAGTTCCTCCTTCTGGGTAACGCGCTTCACTCTGCAGCTGGCCGCGTAGCCCCGGTTCTTCAGCGTGCGCCGACGCTGCTTCAGCTGGATGATCTCCTCCTTCGACAGGCCCCGCAGATGCTGGTTCAGCTCTCGCACAGACATGGTCACCAGCTCCTCATCTGTCAGGCTGGTCCCATTCTCGCCTGGCTCCCTCTTCACCTGGGGGAGAAGGCAGCACGCACTTGTGAAACCCGAGGTGGATGCCTACACCCCGCACCCCTCTCCTCCGCCCGCCGCGTTACCTTCAAGGCCTTGTTTCCTTTGTTGGGGGTCGTCATAACACGACAGCCTTGTCAGCTGGGTTCTGGAAGGGAAGGAAGGTCAAGTTAGCACCTGGGACACAGCAGAGCCCACGGCATTCCTCCGGCAGCGTCCAGCAGCAATGCCCCGTGGTGCTCCACATCCTGGCCCCTGCCATGGAAGACAATCACAAGCAGCCAGCTGAGCTGGACTCACAATGAGCAGCAGAAACTGCTGCCCTTCCACACCTCGGCTCCCACAGAGACTCTGTGGCAATGCTGGTTTTTGTTTACAGTGGGGAAATTAAAGAACTAGGAGGAGTCAGAACACATGGAAGCCATATTTTTAAAAATAGCCTTGCAAGCAGCAGGCAGGGTCCAGAGCGTGGCTGCTCCAGGCCAGTCATGCTGACTCAGCAGGCTGGCACTCTGCACCACTCGCTGCCAGCCTCGTCCTTGTCACTCCCAAGCAGGGCAGGTTCCCAAACACGCCCTTCCAACAGGTGCCCAAGCACAGCCCAGGAGCTCCCCAGTCCTACCAGACTCCAGATGCTGCCAAGGATGGTTCAATAAGACATAATCCTGAGCAAGGGGTACAGGGAAAGCCTTGGACACACTGGAATTCCATCACAAATTTGGGCTGATGTCTCAGCAGCCTTCAGCTCTCCCAGTCATGCAAAACTGACCCCAGCTGTAGGTCTTTTCTATGAGAAAGTACCTGTCAATCCCTGGCATGCCAGGGTCCAGAAACACCTTCTTCCTCCTTATCTTAAGAGCCAAGGTGTGCTCAAAAGCAAACAAAGATTAAAGGTGCTAAAAAACAGAGCAGAGCAGACTCCTTCCCTGCCATGGAAGACAAGACTTCAGAAATGGTAAGAGCAATTCCCAGGCCTGCTTTACAGAGACTTATACCCAGGCTCCTGCTTCTTTCCCCACGTACCTCCTCCCCACAGGCTTTTCAGTTCAGACTGCTACCTCGCTGCCCAAGGAACTGACCCACATAGATATTACTGACAGACACGGCTGTGCCTCAAACAGCCCAAAGTGCACTCCCCTCTCAGCCCTGGCCAGGATTCCTGTGCAGCCTACAGGTGCCTCTGCCCCTTTCATCTCGCAGGTGTCAAACAACAATTTTGTTTGCCCCTGCCTTGTTTGCCCCCAGCGGGACTGATGTCCAGTTACAGACCAGAACCAAATGCACACATCAGCGAATATGACTTAGTGCTCTTTCAGCAGCTGTGGCACAGGCTCCCTCCAGTGCATCTGTGACCTACAGGAGGTGAACAGGACTAGCAGTCCCCAGAACACCATCAGAGATATTCCTGAAGCCTGCAGCCTGCCAGGAGCCAGGCTATTTATATATACCTAGAGGACAATGCTCCTTCCAACAAGATATCTGCTACATCCAGCCACACTGGCATAGCCACGGTCATTTGCTGCCCAAGGAAGGCAGCTGCAGTGAGACAGGACAGGCAGCATACAAGCAACTGCTGCACAAAATCAATTCTTCCCTCCTTCCCAGACTGCTGTTTATTCCTTCTGTTCCTACCCGGTAAACAACATGTCTGCTGGGAAAAGGAAGGAGGAAAGGGAATACCTGGAGAGATCAACGTGCCTGCCCCTGCAGCACTTCTGTGCCCCATCCTCTTGCAAGTGGAAGGAGTCAAGGGCAGGTATGGTCAGTGGGACCACAAGAATTTGCTTGCCCTGTGGCACTAAGGAATTTACAGCTGCCTGGCAAGCACACAGGCTGCCTTCATACAGCAGACCCAAAATGAAACAAACAGGGCACAGGCATGCTGCTTCAGGCAGGGCCCTGGGAAGAGTGCTCCTCAGCAGGCTGGGGAACGGCTGGCACTGGCAGAGCTGGACACAGCAGAGGCAGCTGCTCATTCCTGCCTCTGCACACTCTAACACAACACCCTCTCAGGCAGGAGCCTCTCACAACAGCCAGCAGAGCTGCAACAGGATTGTCCCCAAAAACCGGGTGATTCCACCTCTCCAAGGTGCTGCAACACGTAAGGCAGTCAGCAGAATGAAATAACAGCCCCAAGAGTTTCCAGGGTCCTATTTTAACCTGGGCTCACAAAAAGGACACCCAGAGAATGGGCAGCATAGCAGAGACCAAACTTTGCCTTACTCCCCAGACTGCTGATGGATCAGCTTTTGATAGCTTCCTGAAGAAAGATCACACTGAAAAGTGCCAAACACTATGGCTACAATGAAGAAACTGCAGCCTCGACACATTTCCCCAGAGCTCAAAAGGCCTGAACTCAGCACAAGCACAGCCAATTCTCCCCTCAGCTCAGCGGCAGCACACGGGAACTGACAGCACCACGCATGATCCAACAAGGACCCCTCTCCACGCTCCTGGTGCAGAACCTGCCACCAGCCCCGTGTAAACACAGAGACATCGCCTGCTGCAGGGGCAGAGCGAGGGCTGTGCTCCCCCATGGGCTCCGGCAGGCACAGGACCGTGGTCTGTCAGCAGGGACAGGGCACACTGCACAGAAACACTCTCCCAGCATGGATTTCATACTCTGTTTGTCTGCTTGCTGGCAAATTGGCTCGCACAGTCTCATCCAATGACTCCCCGAATTACCTGTGTAGCCAAAACGGTGCCTCCTGTGTTCCCCACCCTGAGGGTCCCCTGGTGAGGTCACCCAACCCTGAGCACTTCCACAGCGATTTTTTTCCCCAGGGAATCTGCCCACCCAGCTGCTTTTAGCTCTGCTCACACTGCTAAAGCTAAGGGCCAGCTCTGAGAGGCTCCCTCCCACCCCTGGCAGTGCCCTCCTCCGATCACACAGCTCACATATCCCGGGCGGCCGGAGACGTGCCCGGCTCGGAACAGCGTGACCGAGCCGTGCACAGCACGGCCCTGGCGCCGCTCAGACACCGCAGCCCCGCGGGAGCCCGCTCCACTCGGGGACACCGCAGCGCCCAGTACGGGGCAGCCCCGGCGGAGCGGCACCGCCACCGGCACGGCTGCAGCTACCGAGCAGCCGGAGCATCAGGTACCGACTGCGGGCAGCGGGGCTGTCCTGCCCGCTTCTGCTCTGGGAACCGGGCGAGCCGCCGCGGTGGCTCCTCACGCTCCCGGCCCTCCCGTTCTCGGGAGAAGAACGACAGACCACGGCGAACACCGCGGTGGGGGCGGCCGCCCGGCGGGAGGGGGGAGCCGAGGCCCCGTCGGGGGCCAGGTCGCAGCCGTACCGGCGGAGCGGCGGGGCTGAGGGGGCAGGCTCGGCCTGAGGACAGCCGGTCTGCAACATGATCGGGGCACTCGGCAACCGCGGGAGGGAGGGGCCGGATGCGCCCGCGATGCCTGCGGGCGGGGCCGGGGGCGGCGGGCACGGCGGGCAGGCCCC